CGGCGGGGCGGAGGCAAAGCGCACCGCCTCGCACTGCACATGCGCCCCGCCACCGCGCCCCGCTATTGCGCATGCCTACGAGAGCCGGCGCAGGCCCCGCGAGCGCCGGGACGCGCGGGGCGCGCTGATTGGCTGGCGCCGCAGGGCGTGCTTTTGAAACGGGACAATGAGGCGCGAGGCGCGGCCAGCGCGGGGCCGCGGGTTCGAGTCCCGCGGGGCCCGCATCACGCGTGGGCGCTTCGGACGCTCTCCCCTCAGTCCTACTGCCCTTTCCAGCGTTTTTCTCCGCTGTTCCCAAGTGTTATTTTGCTGCTGAAATACGCGCCCATTTTTTTTTTTAATTGACGTAACAGAAATCTGGCATAAAGTTCATGGAAACACACGATGCCAGTTCGCGACTGCACTCTTGGGGCAACCTTTGGAATCCATTTCACTTGATCAAAGTATGTAAGTTTGTAATTTTGTGCTTACTAATTTTTAACGTGTCAATGCCTTTCTACAATAACAGTTACAAGTCACATATTTGTCTTTTTCATCCAGGGCTCTTCAAGATCTTTAACAGTGAGAGATTTCAAAAGTTTTACATCCTCTTCAGCGAAAGTGCAATAGTTGTCCTACGGCGCTAGCCATAGAAGCCGCTAAATCCGAAGACCCTTCTGCTTTTTTAAGAACATTGCTGAACAAATTATTCTCTTCATTTATACATGATCATTTAAACTATCATAGGTAACTGAACAAACCGCTGCGTATACAATTTTGCTGTTTGTTACGGGACCTGTTTGCCCTGTTTTTGTTAATCAAAGCTAATGTGAGCAAGCTCCATTGCTTCCACGATCAGATTTTTCCCTTTTTCCATGTCCCACTTTCTATATTTGTCATTAACTGCTTGTTTTTGTTTATGCTTACATTTCTGGCACTATACTGATAATATTAATATAGATCTTTGTATCTGGGACCTCTTAACAGGTCTGCATAGATTACATTTAAAAAAGTTAGACTTTTTCTCAGAATAAATTTTCCATTCATATCAAAAAACCTGGAGGCAAAACTCAAACTTGCATTACTGCAGAAGGAAAACCTTTTATAGTCTAGTGTCACTGTTTACACAATCATCTATTGTAGCCAGTCCCATCTTCCCATCCCATCTTCCTGTGGGATGATACAGAATTCCCATCCCCTTCAAAGAGAAACAAGGTAAATAATACACAACTTAATTTTGTTTTTTTCACTAATTATGACAAGCTTGATTTGTGGGAAGAACTGGGATCTGGCACTGCAAGAGCAAAAAAAAAAAAGTGTTAATCACATTGTAGCCATCTATTTACTGAAAGCAACAGCATCCTTGCACTGATTTTTAATACAGAACGTGCACCATTCTCTTTGTTAAATATTTCAGCACAAGCATTTCATACGGCAGCTGGACACCAGCCAAGAGGCAATTCAATTGACAGTATCTAGCAAAACAGCTAGCCCTGAGGGGAATTGATGGTGGCGTCATTAATGCAAAAGCCACCTGCAAAATACAGCTATATCAACCAAGCTATTATGTGGATTTTGGTATTTATTATTATTGCAGAGCTACTGTATTGTGTCCTTGTCACAGACAGCAAAAAGCTTCAGGTTCCCCTTAGAAAGAAGCCAACAGGATCCAAAATGTGGCTGAGAGCACAGAAAACATCAGCTCCATGGATGCAAATTTCACAGAGCCAGACATCACCACAACAGCTTGTTATCTGACTGGGAGGTTACTAGAACCGGGTAGAAATTTGTGTATATATATAAGAGCAAGGAGGGAATGTCAGGGTGACTGTCTAAGGCCCTAGGGATCCACGCTAGGAGCTGGAAGGCTAACGAGGCAGAGAACGGGGAGTAGGAGAGCTGTGCTAGGGAACAGGATGAGGTGAAAGATGAAAATGAGGAAATCAAACTCAAAAAGCTGTGTGAGGGAAACTGTGCAAATAGCCACAGGAACAAAGATTGGGAAAGGAGAGAATATGTTAAACAGAGCCCTAGGAGGATATGGGTGAAGGAGGAAGATTCAGAGTGGAGAAATAAAAGGGGGGAAGATAGATGAGCAAAGTGATGCAAAGCAACTGGTGGGCACAAACAGCCATGGCCTGGAAGATAAAACTATCTATAATCTACCTTTTATTCTGCAGTTATTTTTGTTCTGGAAGGCTGCCTGGAATACTCACCTAAACTGTAAACTGATGTTAAGACGCCTGAGCCTGCGGACAACCACCAGCCGTACTGCCGAGAACTGTCAATGGCTTCATTCATCCTGGCACAGTATTAACTGCTTAGCTGTGGATATTTAAATGTCAGCAATTTAGCACTTAGCAAGAGAGCAGTTATAAACACATTTTTAGACATCTGCAACGTTTACATCTGAATTTCATATGACTAATACAAGCAGAGCTTAGTTTGAAGTATAATTTGGAAGGAAAAAAATAATTCTCCCCTCTTCTTAAGTCTCTCTCTACAAATGGAGACACCACTATCTAAGTAGTTTATTTAATTCATGAGTACTCACGAAACATGAGTAAATACCGCAATAAAATAAATTATTAAACAAAAAAAACCCTGCAAAAATCAAGCCTAGAGGAAGTAAAAATTCCAGAAATAGTATGTAGAAATGCGCTTCCTATTCAATGGCCAACGCACGCAGCGGTTCGCGGGGCTCCCTGTGGGTGCCGGGCCGGTCGCCAGCCCCGCGGTCCGGAGCGTCGC